AATAATCGACATATGTTGATAGACTGTCGGATTTTTCCGGGTTCCGGTTGCATTTTGGTCAATGGGTCTTCTGCCAACGTTGAGATCGTGGCCAGTAAGGGATTGTTTGTCAATATCTTTTCTGCAACGAACTTTCCGGGCAACTTTTTTCTTCTGATGTTGAGTGGAGGTTCTTTTGCTCCACCTAATAAGGTGTTAGTCGGGGAGGATGTCAAAGCACACATATTTGCGCGTTATTGGGTTCTATCCAGCTTTAAAAGATGCGATTTGGCGGCAACATTATAAAAGAGATTTCCGTAGTTCAACAGTATTATGTAAGTTGTTAAATCAAAATTATGTAAATTATCGTATTATGTACATTATATAATCATTATGAAAAAGAGGAACTTAACTCATATGGACGGTGAAAACCATGTCATATAAGCTTTTTTTAATTACCTATGGACTAACGTATAAAAGTATATTTACACATAAAACTGTTTATCTAACTTTCTATCAATCATTGGTGAAGTAGAAAACCATGGACTCTCATGTGCAGTTAATAATAACGCATAAGTAAAGCTATTCATTCATACTTGGCTACAGCTAATCAACTTATCACATATAGCACCCCATTTTATCCGCATACTCATAAATCTATCGAAATGATTCAGCATAGAATCGACAACTGACGAGATATGTGTCCACTAATTAAGAAATTGAAATATCCTGGTTTTTCGAAAGGGTTTATGAGAAGGGCTTAAAATTCACCATGACCTCCCGATAATTGGCCCATTTAACGGCCTCCAGGGAGAATCCGCCCGGCATTGGGTATGACTGGGTGGTGGTATTTAGCGAAGAAGATTGATGACAGCCAACAAATCATACAACGCTTCTGAAATAAACCCTCGCCCACCTCCTGATAAATCAAACTGAGCATCAAAAAATCCTGCCTTGGGATTTACATTATCAGAAGAAAGCAGCTGATCATTATCCGGATAATTACCACCGCAGATAAAGAAGGCCCCTTTTTAAATTAATTGTAAAATACTATATTCTTAAAAAATAACATATGTTTTGTACACGTATACATATATAATCAATTTTATACATAGATTTCGGATTTATTCATACTTTAGCCATCCTTTGAAAAAATTATTGGGGATACAGTAATACCTTAGGTAACTTAGGTCAATAAAATTACGCTCAGACTCAGATTTTTATGAATTTTTTTTTCGTTAAAAAAATCGACATATGCGAGAGACCTTGCCAATGATCCGAAAAAACTATTTTAACTTGGATATTTTTTAATACAGTATTTTGAGTTGTATGTATTTCAATGATATTTTAGATAGAAAATTGATTTTTTATGCATCACAGAAAAATAATTGTTCGGAAATAGTTGATACCACACAACAACTCATGATTTCCGAATAATCATCGACTAACGGTCACTAATCACCACACATAAAAAAATAAAATGTTGGACAAAAAATTATAATTAGATATGCAAAAATTACTAATAAGGGAAGTACGTTTTTAGTAAAGTAAAGAAAGAAAAAATATTCTAAAAAATAAGTGATCGGTGGTACCAGACCGCATCTCACGATTTCAGAATAATCATCGACTAACAGTCACTAATTACCACATATAAAAAAATAAATGTTGGACAATAAATTATGATTAGATATGCAAAAATTACCAAAAAGAGATGTACGCTTTTAGTAAAGTAAAGAAACAAAAAATATTCAAAAAAATAAGTAATCAATCGTTGGTACCAGACCGCATCTCACGAATTCCGAATAATCATCGACTAACGGTCACTAATCACCACACATAAAAAATAAAATTTTGGACAATAAATTATTATTAATATGCAAAACTTACTAAAAAGAGAAGTACGCTTTTGTAAAATAAGGAATCGTTCGTTCCAGACCGCAACTTACGATTTCCGAATAATCATCGATAACGGTCACTAATCACAACACATAAAAAAATAAATTGTTAGACAATAAATTATAATTAGATATGCAAAAATTACTAAAAAGAGAATACGCTTTTAGTAAAGTAAGTAAACAAAAGATATTCTAAAAAATCAATGCATTTTCCCTTTACGATGTTATTTTGTGATCGACTAGCTTGGACAAACTTTGGATTTGATAATTTATTGGGTAAGTGGTCAATTTATAGGATTGCGAACGAACTGGGAAAAACTAATTGGGAAAGATTGCCACACGAATTTCTTAGTATTTAAAAAGATAAATGGTAGGAAAATAGTGGTACATAAAGCGACATAGAAATAAGAAAGTGTACTTGGACAATTGACACGAATAAAAATGAAATAGAGAAAAAGGACGCTTACCCAATAAATTTTCAAATACAGAATATACAAAAGTTGGACGATAACAAAATAACATTGTGAATTGCTGGGTCAGTTATTATTCTGCAATGACATAGCACAGGAATTTGGTGTGAAAATTAGTACTAAGTTGAAACTACATTCTAATAACAATAAGAAGTTGTTGATGTGTAAAGCCTAGAGATGGTTCCTACTAAAATGTAGATCTCATGCTAACTACGCAACACGCATTAAGGATAATTTTAAATGCTTATTTACACTAATTTAAAACAATTGCCCCACGAATTATCTAGTATTTAAACAGAAAAATAGTTTATTGGGGCAATTAAAAGGATTAAAAATGAAATGGAAAAAAGGACCATATACCCAATAATTTTTCAATTTTTTTCCTTAAGCACCTTTAGAGCCTTAAATACGGATTTTTGAAAATAAAATGTAATTCAGTTAATTAAGGTTTTTAGTTGAAAAAAAAAGTCAGTGTCACGAGCGGGATTTGAACCCACGATCTTCGGCTAGATACGCCGCTGCTCTACCACTTGAGCTATAGTGACCTCGATCCAGTCGGACACTAAGGTCCCATCTCAACCCTACCTTTTGAATTTCCAAAAACAATGGCAAAAAGGAAGGAAAATTCAAAAGGTTGAGATGGGAAGTTGGTAAAAAGGAAGGAAAATTCGAAAGGTGGGGTTGAGATGGGAAGTTAGTGTCCGAGCGAATCGAAGTCACGATAGCTCAAGTGGTAGAGCAGCGGCGTATCTAACCGAAGATTGTGAGTTCGAATCCCGCTCATGACACCGAATTTTTATATCAACTAAAAACCTTAATTAATTGAAAGATATTAATTGGTCAAGCGGATCACGAAAACTAGTGAAAAAATATAGGAGGGCGTATTTTCTTTCTCGCTGAGGTTCCATGTTCCACTTAAAAATTCAAAATTCCTCTGGATTGAATACAAATTAAACGTAACAACCGTTACGAAGCGGAATGTCTTTTCATTTATTCTATGCCTAAAATGTAGATTTCATTGCGTTTTTATCGAAAAAATAAAGTTTGTATCAACGAAAACCTCACATAATTTATTTTACAAATACGGTTTCAAATTATTTATCGCTGGTTTATGCCATTCCCAGTAGAGTATTCTAAATTTGTGTAAAGTTTACTTAAGATATAAGATCGATAAAGTCTTTTCAAAGTTATCACATTATGGTGGTTTTCGCGAGAAGATTCGCTTATTGGCCAAAAATTTTAGAAATTTTTTTTTGTATTCCGAAAAATTTATATTAGATATTTTTTTCGGAAAAGGTTTGGACTACGAATATCAATTTTTCTTCTTGTTAAAAACAAAATATTTTACCTACTCCACAAAGACACGGAAAAATCAGTATGCGGGCAAGAAAAATTGAGCGATCAATTGAAATGCAATAACTAATTTGTGATCCAGATGCCTCCTAACTTTTTGATTCCTTTTCTTTTCCTCCCTCGTACCTGGGTTTCTTTTCTTCCCCCCAAAATCAATTATAAATTTGTGTCAAAATAAATAATAAACAAAATTCTCAAATTTTCGCTTCCGATTCTTTTTTCGAAAACGCTGATTTCGTGACAACTTGGGTAAGAATCCACTGTGTTTGAGGAAATTAAATAAAAATTTAGAATTCTATACAGTATACGTTATAGCATAACCTTGGCCTCTGTAAAGAAATCAGAAGGGCATTTGAAGAGTTTTTGTTGATTACTCCTTATGTTTTCACTTACAATTAACCCAAATATTCTTTGATATTGGCTCAAAGTTGAATTCCAGTTGTGCAAGTTGTAATATCCTCTAAAATCCAGAAGCTGTACACATTTTTAAGTGAAACACCTGGTATTGAAGCTGATCCAGCCAAAAATTGTGTAATTTTGGTCTGCTATAATTTTTATAAGCTTTAACGTGCTCTTAAAATGCATCGGAATCTTTTATTTCTGAAACAAATTTATTTGATTTACTTTATTGTGGAGACATTTCGTTTATGTAATTTTTGGTTCATTTAATCTGACTTAATACAATCCTGCCTATTATTTTCTTGAAATTTATTGATATATGTGTGGTGATTAGTTGATGATTATTCAGAAATCGTGAGATGCGGTCTGGTGTGATGTAAGTTTCATAAAAACATTATCGTTATCGTGCCAACGTTTCGATCTTTATTGAGATCGCAGAAAACAAACACTTTGAGCCCTGAAGATGATCTCAATAAAGATCGAAACGTTGGCACGATAAAGAAAATGTTTTTATGAAACCAACATCACACCAGACAGCATCTCACGATTTCTGAATAATGGTTGATATATGATATCCATGAAGTAGATGCCCGACGAAGGCGGAGAACTAGATTAAAAAATGTTTTAATTAATTAATTTTTGTTCGTTGACTCTAATGATTAATTCCTGGCATACTAGAGGGCTTAACATCCAATTAACGTTAAATATCGCGGAACAAAGCGCGGAAAAACTTTACTTTATTATTTTTATCAAAAAATTCTTTAATAAAATTCCAAGGTTTTTCAAACAAAAATTGAACTGTGGCGTGGCAACAAGTCGGAAAAATAGTTTTTTTGTTAGCGAAGACTTAAAACTGTGTTATTTAGTCGTGTAAACATTCATTTGAAAGAAATCAATTACTTACAGCTTTGTCGCCCAAATTGCGTACTTTACAGGGCAGCAGGGCAGTTTCTCCAGGCGCGGCGGACACGCTAACATCGCTGGACTCGAAAACTGGATCGAAGGCGATATTCCAAACCCTATTCGATGAACCCAAATTTGGTTTAACGTACGCACCTAAAAATTAAAAATAATACTTGAATTAATAAATTGTTTATTGGAAAGTTACGAATACCAGGGTCAGATTAAATCGGAATAAAAAATACAGATGGCCTTAAAATTATAACAGGAACTTTAGGCTTATGCAGAATTATCAAGGGCGAGTGCGAGAATACAGAAAGGGATAAAAAAAAGATTTAATTCAGTTTCACGATCTGGGCGGAAGGGATCGTCCCAGAGGATCGGGTTCAGGATTGAAGAAGTTTAACGGAATTTGGAATACGAAATATTTCAATTATCTCGTTCGGCAACTGTTTTGGTTATAGATGAATGCAAATTAAAGGGGAAACTGTTTTACATAATCGCTGTATAAGACCCGGTGGTGAAGCGGCAAACGGCTGCGGTCCGTGTAGCAAGTCGATGTCAAGGCGGGCAACTTTTTGCACAATAAAACATTTTACGACGGCGTCACGCCGAATCGCTTAATTTGCGCCCTCGGATCAGCATTGGGGATTTTTCCTATGACCTAAGTATTACGCTTTATTTTCATAAGTGAACTTTGAAGTTGTATGGGCTACGATTTAACTCTTGCGATTATATCGAAAAACCATTGTAAAACAAAATTCTGGACTTATTTTCTCGTTTAACAAAAAATTTCATGTAGGGCTGATTGAAGTCAATCAAAAATGCAAAGTTTTTCTGAAGATATTTCGCTGATTTTTTCTTTAATCATACATTAACCTTCCTAAATCAATCCGAGTTTTTTTCAGTTTCAGTTATTATTCAATTATCGACTGCTTTATTCCCTGAAGGTTCAACTAAATCCGTGTCCCTAATACTCTGCAGCTGTTCTGGACCTTGTTTATAAACAAAGTCCGCGTTTCTGGAAGGGTACAGTTGTTACGTCGTTTCACAAACCTTGATTGGAAAATCCTTAGATAAACCCTTTAAAGATAAAGTTTTTGTAAATAATAATACTTGCGACTTCCTCAAAGTTTGAAAGTTAGTAATTGTGTGTAATTTAACTTTCCTCAGAGGAAATGTTGTGGATAAAATCCATTCATTTCTATCTTTAATAGGTCGTTAAAGAGTATTTTCACTTGGGATTCAAAGCTTTTCTTTGTAATCAGTAGAATAAAAGAAAATTCATTTAATCTCATCAAGATTTCAAAATCGACAAATGCAATAATTTCTTAAAATAATTTTTTGGTTAGTGATTGCTTTTCCAAACTTTTCCTTATTTGTGATAAAAATCTACTATCATTTTTACGTTAACTTTATATAAAATTAATATGTTTCAGCGTAATGCTAGTGTATTTTTATATATTTTTAAATATTAAAAATTTGGCACTGATATAAGGTTTTGATTATATCAATTGAACTACCTAAATAAATTTTGCAGAAAAGGTACGGGTTAAGATGGAAAGAAAAAAAGTTACTAAGTACTTTCATTTGTCCGAAATCTCAGTGGCCACTCATAAATTAAATTAAAATGCCGATTGAATTAATTCCCGGCTATTTAATGAAACAATATAAATCTTAAAAGCAAGGAAGGAACCGTGTAATGAAAATTACAGACCATTCGATGCAGATTTGTGACAAATTGGAAATGCAAGCTCTAACTTAAAGCACAAAAAAAATATTTATCATTAAAATGATTTGTAACCTGTTTTAATAACCCTACATAATTTATTTTTACAACGAATGCTCAATTTCTTACTGAGGATGAAAAAAAAGGATTAGACTTAGACTGTTCGTATAAAAGAATTCACTAATTTCGTGGTCCGCTTGACCAATTAATATATTACAATTAATTAAGGTTATTAGTTGAGATAAAAAAGTCAATGGCACGAGCGGGATTCGAACCGACGATCTTCGGCTAGATATGCCGCTGCTCTACCGCTTGAGCTATCGTTATCTCGATCCACTCGGACACTAACTTCCCATCTCAACCGCACAGTTTAAAAGAAGTTTAAGTTGGGTGTGGGCCTACATTGAAATTGCACTGGCTCATTTACTGGGTCCGTCAATACTCTCGTTTTTGAAGTCTACGTGTTTTTGCTTTGCGCTATATTCAGTAAGGAATTGAGTGTGTCGTGACAAGAAAATACAGGTACAACCCATAGACTACTTTCATAAACAAATATTAACAACTAATAGAAATAATAATAATTCATGGTTGGAAAAGTTAAATTATTGAGATTCCGAAAAAAAAATTATTTTTTAATGTTTTTGTAGGCCAATCGTCCTACCGCAGTGGCCGAGTGTTACGCTTCCAACTCGAATTTGCTACGCTTGTAGTTCTGGGATCGTATCCCGGCATAGGACATGAAATGTGTGTAAATTGAATGTATATATAATATGTGGTGATTAGTGACCGATAGTCGATGATTATTCGGAAATCGTGAGATCCATTCTGGTGTGACGTAGGTTTTAGGAAAACTTTTTCTTTATAGTACCAACGTTTCGATCTTTCATTTAATTAAGGTTTTCAGTTGGGATAAAAAGTCTGTGTCACGAGCGGGATTCGAACCCACAACCTTCGTTTGGCCAGATACGCCGCTACTCTACCACTTGAGCTATCGTGACTTCGATCCACTCGGACACTAACTTCCCATCTCAACCCCACCTTTTGAATTTTCCCTCCTTTTTCGTTATTTTTCAAACGTCGTGTTATCTACTTGATTCTTGGCGACAAATGAAATGGCCACAGAGAGCTTAAGTGATGGTATACTTCATTCTAACTTATTAAATTCACTAGTTTTCGAGGTCCGCTTGACCAATTAATACCTTTCAATTAATTAAGGTCTTTAGTTGAGATAAAAAAGTCAGTGTCACGAGCGGGATACTGAAGAGAAAAATGGCAAAAAGGAGGTAAAATTCAAAAGGTGGGGTTGAGATGGGAAGTTAGTGTCCGAGTGGATCGAGGTCATGATAGCTCAAGTGGTAGAACAGCGGCGTAACTAGCCGAAGGTCGTAGTTTCGATCTTTATCGAGATCATCTTCAGTACTCAAAGTGTTTGTTTTCTGCGTAATTGTGCCATTATTGTGTGTCGTTTAGAGAGTGCCTATTGGATGGATATTACAAGTTTTCGTAATCTGAGGTCTGCCACCTAGAAATCTACTACAAACTTGCCTTATAAAATTAATCATATTATATATCTTACAGGTTAATACTGTCTTACAGACTGCGGCTTAAGAAAGAGGTGCGGCAGTAAATACTCAGAGATCAGGTAAATACTGTCGGGCATATCACAAAGAACCAATGTTAGTTCCATCGTATTGAAGCTGATATCAAAATGCAATGTTTACAAACGAGGATACCAAAGTTTTTCGTACCAATCTATCAAAATCACTTCTAAATCCCCAGAGCATATGCCTGACACAATACAACCTTAAGAAAGAAATAAACTCAGATTTATTCTCTAATCTACAATAACGACTAAAAATTGCCGATCAACTCAAGTTAGATTTCATTAATCTGGAAACCTTAACTTCTTACCTTTTGAGGCATTCATAGAAGAAGCGCCCAAGGTGTTTAAATCACAAATCTCAAAAACCCCAATAACTGAACATACGATCCATTTTTGTATTGTTCCTGACAAGTTTTCCACTCTAACGTAAGAAAGATCTAAGTTGGTTTAAATAACTGTCTTTGAGGCGTCCTCGCCTCGGTTAGTTACGTGTCCTCCGGGTGCAGCACTGCACATAGCAAAAATGAAAGCATTAAACTGTAACAATGTACGGATAAATTATTTCACCCAACAAACTACCTAGAAAACAGTTTAAAAAAGTATATTAATAATAATTGTTCGTTAGACCCCCACTAAATTGAATTATAAGGTCCCCGGTGTCCGAGTGGTTAGGCGCCCGACCACTGACCAAATTTGCCACGCTAGCTGCTATAAGTTTGAATCTCGATATATTTCATGGCTTTTTACTTGAAAATATTTTGAAAAAATAATATGCAGTGAGTGATTTGACTTCTTGTCCTCGACACCCAGCGGACAAAACTTAACGTAAAAGCTATCTTTTAATTACCCTACTTTAGTTTACATTTATAGGCAATAGTTTTTTTTATTTTGAAAGAAAGGCAACTTGCTGATTGCAATTCTAGATTCAACATGATTTTTATTGCGATATACGTGAAAAAACATCATTTACATATTTTGCAACAAAATAAATTTAGCCGTTTTTATTGATTTTAGCCATAACTGAATAATTGCACTTTGGATTTTTCCGGGTTACATCAGAAGGCACTTATGCTGAGATCATTTTCAGACCGTATTTTTGCTAACAACTTTATCCTCCTTTTTCCCCCTCCCCTGAGAAATGTAGTAAACTCTTTTTCCTCTCATGAATCATGGACGTTATAAAAGGTTCGGAGCTCCTCAGAAACACTGTAAAAAGCAAAGGTGGGAAAACTAATTTTACAACGGGCTCTCAAAAAGCCACTTCATTGTCCATTTTTTTACAGTGTAAAGAAAGGCGCGATAAAAGACTATTTACGAACAATAAAATCGGTTTCTATCTCATCAAACACCAAAATAAAAGTTAATTTTCGCATGATGTTCAAGTTCAAAACATGTTGCTTTATTAGTGTTTTTGAAGTTAAGATTATCTTCTTTCAACAGATAAACAAGGATTCATTGTTAAAATATATTGGCCAAACAAAGAAATCTCATTTTCTCCATAGTTATCCTAAATTGGAGGTTTTTGAATTCTGATTATTCGGAAATCGTGAGATGCGGTCTGGTGTGACGTAGGTTTCGGAAAAAGTTTTCTTTACCGTGCCAACGTTTCGATCTTTAAACGAATCGATAAACGATAAAGAAAATGTTTTGCTAAAACCTATGTCACACCAGACCGCATTTCACATTTTCCGAAAATCATAGACTATCGGTCACTATCACCACATATTTTTGAGTTCTGTCAATGTCAAAGCGTCGATGGTGAGTTGTGAAGGCCCTAGCGGCTTGTTATAAGATTTGAGTTCAACATTTCACCCTAAAGCAAGA